CTTTAATCTAGACTTTAATCTAGACTTTAATCTAGACTCTTTAGCGAGAGTGTGCCTGAATCCCGCACATCCGCCGAGAGACCATTCCACAGCTGCGGAGCTCTGTAAGAGAATGCTCTGCAGCCTGCCGCAGCCCTGTCTACTTTAGGAACTAATAGATATCCTGCTCCTTGTGAACGAAGCAGGCGAGAAGGGTTGTAAGGGACCAGAAGATCATTAAGATATTGTGGTGCAAGGCCATTCAGAGCTTTGTAGGTTAATAGCAGTAATTTGTAGTCAATCCTAGACTTGACTGGTAGCCAGTGCAGGGAGGACAAGATAGGGGTAATGTGATAAAATTTTTTAGTTTTTGTGAGAACTGAGGCGGAGGCGGGCAGGAGGGGGAAGCCGCAGCAGGCGACGGCGCAGCCGGAGCCGGCATAGGCACCGTCCGACAGCCTGCCGAAGTAGGAGGGCCCGGATGCGACCGACAAGGCGCCGGAGGCGTAACCGAGGACCGACACCGAGGCACCGTGGGGGGACCCGGAGGCGACCGCCGGCCACGAGCCGGAGGCGCAGCCGGCGACCCCGGAGCCCCAAGCAAGGTGAGCGAGCAAGGGGGCAGGGCGGGCGGGAACCGGCCCGACGCCTGTGGCCCCGTCCCTTACGGGACACTGACAGGCGGGGTCTACCAGGCCGTTGTTCCCGGCGAGACAGGGGAACGGGAGTCCAGAGGGAGGTCCCCGAGGGGTCCCACTCCGGCTCCTCCTCAGAGGAGAAAGGAGTAAGGGTCCCATTGTCCGGGACCTCCTCAGGGACTTGGACCGGTGCTGGAGGCTCGGCCAGAACAGGGGGTGTGGCCGCAGGCGGTGCAGCCGGAGCCACGGGCTGGACTGGAGAGACAGGCAGATCAGGCACCGGCAGGACAGGCGAGACAGGCAGATCAGGAGGGGGCACCTCGGCAGGCGCTTCGGGCATGCGGCCAGCAGGGGGCGCCTCGGAGGGCGCTTTGGGCGTGTGGTCAGCAGGGGGCGCCACGGGCAGAGCGGCTTCCTCCGCTGCAGGCAGAGGCGAAGCCAGGCTCTCGGGCGGAGCTGCAGCGGGCACCCTCAGTTCCTGGCCAGCAGGGGGCGCCGTGGCGGGCGCCGCCATCACGCGGCCAGCAGGGGGCTCCGCGGCGGGTGTCGCCATCACACGGCCAGCAGGGGGCGCCACGGTGCGCGTTGCCATCACGCGGCCAGCAGGGGGCGCATCCACAGCCACCTTGGGCAGTGCCGCAGGCAGAGCGGTGGCAGCTGCAGGGACTGCAGGCAGGACAGGCGGGTCAGGCAGGACAGGCGGGTCAGGCGGTGCCGCTGGCAGAACGGCGGCAGCAGCAGGCAGGTCCGGAGCAGGCGGGTCCAGGACAGGCGCGTCTGAAGCAGGCAGCTCCGGAACAGGCAGATCCGGAGCTAGTAAGCCTCGTACTGCCCCTTTAAGGGCTTTGGAGACCCGGGGAATAGCGTCTCTCACGGCGCAAATTCCGCCGTGCCCCAGATGCTCCGGCCGATAAAAAATAAGCCTCCAACGGAAGCTTGCTAGGCGGGCAGCAGCGATGTCATCCCAGGCGGGGAGGAGAGAGCAGGATCCCAGGTAGAGCGATGGAGCTTCTTCCTGCTGCTCTCTATCTCTCCCCTGCTTTCCTTCCTGATCGCTTGCGGCGGAAGGTGGGGCCGGCCCCGATGCCTCTTCCACGCTCCGAGCGACGCACTCCTCCCGTCGCTCGGTGAGCCGGCGCTGCAGGCGATGGAGGCATTTCCAGGCTTTTGTCAGTGGGTATTTCTGCCCGGCTGGGCGGTCCTTGCCAAGGAGGTCCGTGCCCCGGTTAGCCAACTCCAGGGCTACGGGGTCCTCCTCGACTTCTGGCTGGGAATGCCAGTACACAAATTCCTGCAGCAGACCGAGCCGGTCGTGCTCAGTCTGCCGCTTTGTGCTTTCGTGGAGATCCGTCATTCTGTCACGGTAGACGGAGGGCGAGCGGTGAAGCTGGATAGTCCAGCCGGTGATACGAACAAACGGGGTTTATTGACGCACACTAGGAACAACACCATGACAATACAATGACGGATCTGGGTAGACTGACTGAGACAAGGACTAAATACGAAAGACAAGCTACTGGTAACGAGCCACAGGTGAGAACAATCAGGGAATCACACGAGGTAACGAGGTGGGCGTGGCACACATTGGGATCGAACGGAGCGGATCGTGACAAGAACTCTGGCAGCTGCGATTTGTACTAACTGAAGTTTATGTAGGGATCCAGATGGACAACCCGAAAGGAGGGCATTACAGTAGTCCAATCTGGAAGTTATAAAGGCATGTATTAGTTTTTCTGCATCTTGAAAGGAAAGCATCTTCCGAAATATCTTCCGATTAAACATTTTCCCAGAAGGATTGTGGTTACAGTAGGTTTTGTCAGAGATTAGTAGACGGAGGGCGAGCGGTGAAGCTGGATAGTCCAGCCGGTGATACGAACAAACGGGGTTTATTGACGCACACTAGGAACACTAGGTGTTGTTCCTGGAAATGTTTTCCTTTCAGTAATAGTATCGTCCTTGGCCTTTGCCCATAAAATCGTTCTTGGTTTAGGGTAGGGCTGGGCGATATCATATCGATATTATATCGCGCATGCACAATAATCACCGCCCTGGTCAGATGACAGACGAAGCATTTGGCCGGATGCCAGCTTTTCAGTGCTATACGGACATTAATTTACACCCATAATTTGGTAAGAGGATTAGTAGTATGGCTTATATATTAATGAGATGTGTTTTGTGATACCCAAAAGTTAGTAATCTGTATAAACTTTATGTTTCTTAAATTCGATTAGTGGAGCACCCCACATAATACTGTTTTGCTATACTAAGGTTTGCTATACTATGGTTTGCTATACTACGGTTTGGTATCCACTGAAGTCACGATGAAGAAGAGCAGCCACAACATCTTTTAAAAGAGGAGATCTTGTGGATAAACAACGTAAAAAGACGTTGGCGGTGTGGTGGTACTTTTTGCAGTTCAAAGTCTGACACATTTCTTAAGCATAAGGATATGCTGTATTTATACTAATAATGACTTTTGGACGTCATACTGTCAGGGTGCGGGGCAAGTGAGCCGGATAGCAGGCGAGATCAGCCGGAGATACGGGTAAACGAGGTTTTAATAGCAACGAACGGAGAGACAGGCATGGACATTAACGGACAATACAATGACATTACAATGACGGATCTGGGGAAGACAGACTGAGACTCGGACTAAATACAAAAGACTATCCAGAAATAACAGGACACAGGTGATCACAATCAGGAATTGACACGAGGTAATGAGGGGGCATAGCACACACAAGGATCGTACGGAGCCGGTTGTGACATATACAAAGCCTCATTAATATTTTAGCCATACTACTAAACTGCTTAAATCGTGGGCATAAATAAATGTCCGTATAGCACCGAAAAGCTAGCGCATTGCCAAATGTTGTGCCTGTCATCTGAAGCCCTAGTGATTATTGCGCATGCGCGATATAATATCGATATGATATCGCCCAGCCCTAGTTTATGGTGTTTTGTATGGTACAGGTGAAAACTAGGGGTGGGCAGTACACTGGTGTCCTAGTCATTACCGATGTGATTGTGCGCCACGATATAGATTTGCACTATACTGGTAACACCATGAGAAGTCTACAGCCTAAGTATACAACAGCCTATTTATAAAAAATAAAGCATTTTATTTTCTTCAAAGCTTCAGTTGAAATCTGAGTACTTATCCTTGTACAGTCTGTTACCAGATTATCTGCGCTGTGTGATTTTTCTTTTCACACGGGGTGTCGCTATAGTAAACTAACAAATTGAAATTAAACAGATTTTGTGTAGTTATACAGATTAAACAAATTTATGTGGTTACATATACAGTAGAAAATTAAAAAGTAAAACCTATTCGCTAAATCAGCGCTTTGATGAATGCCCTTTTGTTTGACCTAATGTGGCATTAGTGTTAATAACAGCAGTAAATCTAACACCCTCAACCAAAAATCTGTAAGGTTTCTAACAGAGTGGCTGCTCTGTTCTACAGCTGAAAAGTTTTCAAAAGCAGTATTTTATAAAATGTTGGATAAATAGACATAGTTTATTGATGACTTTATGTTAGTCAAAGTTTACATTATTTAACAACTGTATAAAGTAATTTTTTATGCCAATCAACTCAGGTGAAACAATTAAAAAACTGAGGGTTGCCAACTCTGACACATCTGGCGTGACACGTTTTCAGACTGTCATGCTCACACAAGAAATCTTATGCCAAATCTATATTATTCCATTAGAAACCTAAAATTAGCTACAGTGGTAGCAGTTTGCAAACCATACAGACCATTTACAAGGTAAAAAAAAATGTTACATGTAAATACGTGTATATGTGTGTTAAGACTTGGTCTCAAATTGAGAATCTCATTCCATACAGCTGACCAATGCTGACAACCTTGCGTTCTATTTAAAAGTAAAATGCACTATTTTCCACTTAATTAAACAGCTTGTCATTCCCTTTGTGTTGTTACTCCGACAATTATAAACTGAATATGACATCACTTATGTCACTTTTTGTATCTTTTCTAAATAAAACACTCATACCCAACTGTAATTTAAAGTGTGAATTAGCAGTTAAAGTTTACTTAATATATTATAAAATATTTATTTTAAATTACGTAAAGGGACAAGCATGCTAATCCTCCCAAAAAAAAGTAATACCATGATGTACTACTGTCACTGTCGAAAAATGAAAAATACCGTAATAATAATTTTAGGTTACATCGCCCACCCCTAGTTGAAACCATCACTCCAGGTAAGACTTGAGCTCCTCTGGATGTTTTACATCGATTTTCCTTTTACCACCATGCCCCGGGAGGTTCTTGACTGTTCATGAGCAGCAAACTTCTTAATAATACTATTGAAAACTGTAGAAACAGGGAGGCCAAAGTCTTTGGAGATGGCCTTTTACCCTTTAGAATGCTTATGCTTAGTGATAATAGCATTTCTTGTGGTCTTCATAGCGCTCTCCTTTGTGGGGAAAAAAGGAACAGGAAGTAAAAGTGGCCCTTTTAAGTGTTAAACCCATTAATTATTGGGTAAATCAAGTTATGTGCACATTGAACATTTATCATAGGTGTTTCTAACTGTAATAAAAATCTTTTTATTTTGAATCATCATGATATCCTGTGCAGTTTGTGTCAGATTTGAGTACATTTAGACCTAAGCTGTTTCATTACAGATATTGTATTGTATGTGATGAATTTAAAATTTGGGGGTCATAATTATACTGACTGGAGCTGTATGTAAAGAAATAGATCTGATTTCCAGTTTTATGTGAGCTACTCACTGGCTTCTTCACGTTTGACATGTAGGTGATCACATGTGGCGATGTTACATATTATGTGGCACCTTTGCTTCAAATGACTGGCTGTATGGTTTCTGCCTTTCAGAGAGCTGGATATTTACTGAAGCGGGTAAAGTTGAGTTGCTGTATCCAACGACTGTCTTTTGACAGGCCTTGAGTGAAACTCGGCAAAAATGGTGCTTTTATCTCTGGCTTCTCTTAATGGAATTATTCTGAAGCCGAGCCCTGCTAACCATCTGCTTTATGATGACAATTAAAAGGCACGGCACTTGTTGAGTGATAATCTAATAAGCTGAAAAGGGGTTTTTACATTGTGGTATTTACCTTCATTTGATATCAGGACTCCAGACTAACTTTTTGCATTGGTTGCACTGGTGTGCCTAGCTTTTTCATTGAGATGCACTGCCACAAAATTTAGGTGCACCCAGACTGTTCACAGCACCTGTAACCCCACATTAGTCCATTTTAAGGGTTACCTTTTTGTCATTTCCCATACATATTGATAGTTATGTAAATGATTGTAAATAGGAATAAAGGTGCAGGTAAATGTCTTCATTTGAATCACAGCACAAACAAAAAAATTGTAAAAACTTTATTTTAAAACAAACCATAAAACATACCTATGTATAAAGTGCTTCACAAACTGAATATTTAAAAAAAAACTCAAAAGTATATGCTGTTCCCAGATACTTATAGAAAAAGCTTCAGTTGCCGCTGCCTGACGCTGAAATGCTGCTGGGAGGGAGGGCACTCTCGTGCTCACACTTGTCATGACACAGGATGTGTTTCTTAGCCCAGTGTTTCTGAAACTGGACATTTACAAATGTTTTAAAGGTGTTTTTATTATTAAAATATGACTTGCATTTAGCTTGATAGTATAACCTGCAAGTTAGAGTATTGATATTAATGTATATTTAAATAGCAACAGCAAGTGTTAATAAAATAGGCCTACATCAAAGAATGTTTTAAAAATTGTAAATTCATTATTTTTAAATCATTTACATTTAGCTTCATAATGTAACTGACGTGTTTTAGAATAGAATAGAATATTCCTTTAATGTCCATCAAATTTACATCAGATGGAAATTCATCTTTAACAGTTATTAGATTGATGCAACCTATATTTATTTCGATTGCTGCGCTTAAATAGACAATGAGTACAAGTTTTTAAAAAGGTTTGTCTGGATTACGTGTAATATAATTAGGCCTAGGTCTGCAATGGTAATGGTAAAGCAAAATCCCTAATATTGATTTGTCAAGGAAATAGTAATTATAATCCTACAGGTTAAGCAAACATGTTGCTACCAAACTAAATAAATAATATTAGATTTTGTTATAATAAATATACCATCGATTTAAATGTACATTAATAATATTTCTCTATCTGCACTGTAATTTTCTACTTAGCTGGCTAATCCTTTGTATAGTTTTTTTCATTGGCCGTTTTCATCAGGTCTGCAATAAACCTAACTTTGCTGTCATGTGATTAGTGTGATTATGAGATGTGCTGACAGGGGAGTGCTTTAGCTAATTTGTCCAGGTCAGGGAAGCCCTCTTCATACTCCGCTTCTCCCTGTTTTAGGCTACTCATTTTTGGTTAATACATTTTATTAAACAATCTTTTTAGTGAAATTAATGCACAAACTTACAATGGCAAATCAAGGGGGGAAGTTTTAGTAATATTAATGAGCATTATATTGTAATCTTCAGTTTATGTAAATTGTTTTTCATATGAAGTTCAGTCACTATCCTTCAGGATAAATCAGCAGTCTATCAATCTATTTACATTTGTTACCCTTGTTTTTCAATTGCTACACCAGGCTCCTCTACTATTGACCTGCTGATCTACCAGACTCTGTGCTACGCCCATGATGACTTGGTTCTCATTGATGTGGAGGACTACTTGCTGAAAGTGTGTGGTCACGAGGAATTCCTGATGAAGTGAGTGAAGAAGCCCTCCCACAGCCAATGGAAGCACCTGAACTATGAGAGTTGATCTGCCAACTTGTAGAGCCATTAAAATGTGACTGACACTTCAACTTGGGTTGCATAAACACAGTGAAGTAGCTTCACTGAAAGGGCCGTAGCAGTCTTTTATCCTTAATTAGGAGAGTGCTTGAGTGTAGTGTACCATAAATTTATCATTGTATAATATGCTTTTCTCAACTCTGAGAAGAACAGTTACATTTCTTAGAGCATGTGGAGGAGGTGAACGTTAACCTTCAGATACGCGGATTAATGCTTTCCAAAAACTTGTCCTGTGAGCTTGTGGATTAACGTAGAGAGGTTCTCCTCTCTGTCTGGCTTACCCACCCCCTCAATCACAAAGAGCTGTTTCCACAGGCGGTCCATAAATCCACTTCTCTGCCCCAGTGCTGGCACTGGCCAGTACTAGGAACTGCATATAATGGCATACAACTTCCCCTTCCCCTTCCCCTCCCCTTTATGGTTTTGTGGTATAAAAAGTCTAGCTTTGACTGTCTGCTCGAAAACTAATAGGCTTTAATTACTGGCCTGTTTATGGGACCTTAAACAAGCCAGACGTATTTGTGTGTAGGATAAACTAACCGCATCGTCTTTTCCCCAATCTCAAATCCCTTATCTTTTAATCCACTTCTCTGTGTGTGAACAATGTGTTTTTACAACACTGCAGTATTTTACCTTTCCTATGATTTTGTGATAGTAACGCCCATAAAGAAACTTTAATTTCATTAGGGTAACTGGTGCCTTCTTCAGTTTGCAATATTGTAGCTGGCCAGGAGAAAGTGTGTGTTTTCCTGATAATCCAGAGCCTGTAGAAAGGAGGAGGGACTTCCTGTGTATAATCAGACCATTGTTTGGCAGGTATAGAGTAACAGTAGCGATTTGTATGCTGTAATTTCTTGGCATCTGCCAAAATGTTTTATTTCTTTGCAGCTTTCCCCAGAATGCAGGGAGTCCTGTGAAAATTTTATGAGATCAGCTGAACCTTTTGTGCCACTCAAAACTTTATCGCAGAGAGCATATGTACTTCTCTGTGTCTGATCTTTTTCACTCTTACAGCAATCAGACATTGGCCAGCCTAGAATACATTCAGCAGTGTCTCAAATTTGACTGGGAGATTCGCCTGTTTCTTACCAAGAGAAGCACTATAAGCCAGGAGCTTGTGCGGACGGTAATGTTAGATTTTATATTTTATCTTTAATTTTTATGATTTTTAGAACCAGTTTTTTGATTGTATAAATAGCTTAAATTGGTCAAGTTAAATGCACTGCTCAAAGATACAACCATCTGCTTCCTACGGATACTGTCAAGATAGTGTTCTTGGCAGTTAGAGGAGGACAGGAACCTACCTGTCAGTGTTTTGCTGGGTGTTATGAGATGAGTAAAAGGTGGGGGATATACAGTGGTGCTCTCAGTGACCTTTATTTATAATGGAACTGTCACTGTTACTTTGGCTTCAAGTTTGTTAGTCAGTTGGCAATTTGACTAGACGGAACCATTGCTGTTTGCATTACTGCTGTGTTATGTGTTACATCTTGAATATACCTATATCATAAAGATAGAGAATTGGTGGGATTGCTTGAATCTAGGGCCAGAACTTATTTGAGAAGTATTTTTATCATGAAAGATGTAGCATAGGCTGGCTGTAGTGTGTTTTTCTCTGATTTGCTGATGGCCAACAGGAAGAGGATGATGAGACTCCTTCCACAATGAATCACAGCATACTCCTGCAGGAGCGACCAATCAAACAGACTGTCACAAGGTAGGGGCGGGGTTGTCTGGATTGCACATAAAGTAATTACATTTTAGGACTGTTTGTCAGTTTTCTATGCCAAAGTGGTTAACAATTGTGTTTGCTTTGTTCAGAGAAGCTCTGACACTGCTCCTGGATACATTCCACAATGAAGCAGAATCCTTTGTCCTTTCAGAGGTACTCCAACTTTTTGGTACTTACCATGGCACTAATATGTGAGTGTATTTTTATCGATATGTATTAGTGCTGCACAGTTTGTGATATTAATATCGACATTGGATTTTATGCACATGGAGTTGTCATATTGCAGAGGCCACAATAGTCAGCTGAGTTGAGACGACAAGTTAAGTTATGCCAAAACATTTTTATTCTGTCATGAAATAAAATTAGCAAGCTTTGCTATTTCAATGATCGTTCCTTTTTCAAGGTTACCTAGCATAACCGCCATTGCTTTTGCATAAGATCCATATGCTCTTTCCGAGCACTCGTAGAAGCTTTATTTGCACAAAATGTTCTGGGGGCAGAATAAAAAATGATTGATTCTGCGAGGTCACCAATCAGATTGTAGAGGTGGGTCCAAGCAACTAGAGAAGGCAGGATCAACCAATCAGATGTATCGTTTCTGCCTCTTCTACTTTCTTGAACCTATCATTTATGTTCCATAAATCCAAGGTGACAGCCCTTAATAGCTATTACTCTTCCTGATTTATTATCGTCTTAGTTTGTTTTAAAAGAGGCTATCTACTATGATGTATTGTATAATTTAGGGATTGAATGGGAATCTTTATGAGTCTTCTGCCTGCTGCTGCTGCAGATGGAGCTACCACTACGTGTGGAACGGTTGGTGCAGTCTGTCAAGGCCTTGTGCAGTTCATTGGCTTCCATAGAAACTTCTGACATCACTGCAGCCCTCAGTCAGCTGCCTGCCTGCCCCTGTCGGCTGCAGCCTCGTGTCTTGAAGGTACAGAATATTATAGAACAGGCTTGCATTTTCCATTAAATGTATGGATTGGAATTACGAATTTGTTCATGAGATCCTCTTTCATCAAATTTCACTAAAGAAAAAAAGGTATAAAGCTTAACAACTAAAACAACAGCCTTACATTTAGTGGTGGGCGATATGGTGATAAATTATAATGACTGCTTGCAGTTGTATCCACAATACGTGTTTCAGAGTTATTGCAAGAATTGCGATACAGCACTACATTTACATTTATTTTTATTTAGCAGATGTTTTTGTCGAAAGCAACATACAAATGAGACAAATGACACAATACAAACATATATGCTGTAGAGGAGTTACTGTAAATACACACAAGTGTGCTTCCAGTGTCCACATGCTGAGTTTCCAGTGAATGCCCAGTTACAAGTGCAGTACTTAACATTGTTATTATAACAACAGAACAAATTGGCAAGCACCTATTGCCTGATGCCTGCATGTTGGGAGGGTGCAACAGTACTACAACAAAAGCAGGCCAATGTGAAACAAAGCAGTTTCAGCCGGCATAACATCTCAGGGCTTATTTTCATCAGTTATCTCTCTCAGTGGATCTCAAATTAGTGACTGTATCACTATCTTTAGTGACTAAAACCTTAATATTTTCTAGCTTGATAAAAAAAAAAAACTATATCATCAGACTGCTAAAAAATATAAAAATATTACACATGTCATATGATAAACACGTCCATAGAATTTTTGGCTATGATGTCAAATGTACAGTGTGTCTTAGTAATTGGTTGTTATTATTAATAATAATAATATGCCACAATCAGTGTTTCTTTTAATGGTAGAATTGCTGATTAGGTTAATTAACATTAGTACATAATTACAAACCAACTAAGTTAGAATCACAGTACACGATATAGATTCTAACCAAAAATTTTGTGACATCTTGGCCTTATCGCCCACCCCTCCTTGCATCTATTAATGTCATCTCAATTTGTGACTGCAGGCTTTCACTGCAATTTTACTGCAAATTTAGGTTCAGAAACCAGAGATGTTATTAATCAACAAGTAAATCTGTTTTTCTTTTGCAGTTCTGCTAGACTCCAGGTTTAAGTTCATGTTAAATATGCCTCAAATGGTCATATGCCCCCCCTGTTTCTCTACAGGACATATCGGTGCTGGCATCACAGGAGAACAGAGGTGCAGTGCCCGTCCTTACTACTCCAGTAGACATGTGTGACTGAAGGTCCTATTTAAACTTTGTGTGAGAAGGTTTTTGAGAACCTGCTCAGAATTGTAAAGTAGTAATCAGTATTAATGTGAAAGTATGACCCTTTACAGAATATGGCATTCAGAGTGGTTTCTATTAACTGACTATGGAAATGTCCAAAGTTTCAGAGTTTTACTTGTCACATAAACAAATATACTGAGTGCAGTGTGCAATGAAATGCACAGTTACTTAACCCCAGGCTGTGGACATAAATTTAATAAAGACATAGACAAGACACAACACATTTAAAACATCAGGCATTAAATTATCTTAAATGATTATATGAGGTAGTACAGGCATTGATGAACCCTCCTTACTAAGGAGTAAATGTGCAAGAACCAAGTCAGGTCCACAGTTATGTGAACACCAAGATACCTGAAGCTGCCCACACTTTCCACTAAAGCACCACTGGTAACACTTTACTTGATGGGGCACAAATACTTAGTATTTACTCAGTTAATACTGAAGTACAAATCAGGAACAAATATACATTCCGTGACAAAAAAAGTTAAGCATCCAGAAGTAATGGTCCAATTTGGATGTAATTTGGTACATGTGCAGACCAACGATGGGTATGTAAATGATTCGATTTTCAAGTGGCACGTCTAGTCACCAGACACAGAAGATGCCTTGTAGACACATTAGACAGCATTACCAGCACTTGACGGAGTCACATTTTGGGTTTGCATGTGGCTGGGTGGTCATATTGTGCAATTACCTGGCATGTGGGACATGCAGATGTCATAGTTGCCCAATGTTGGAACCAATGGACATGAGAGGGCACCCACACACATCGTGAAGGTTGCCTGTAGCCCAAGACACCACACTGAGGGAAGATCGTCGTATTGTGCACTACATAAGCGTTACATAATCCCATGACATATGCGCCTGCCATCCAGACACAAGTATTGGACTCTCTACACAGCACAGCGCTACGTCAGTGACATCAGGCATCCGCATGTTTTACCTCTCCCGAGACCGCACCCTGGTACAGTCTTACAACAAGACAATGCCCCTCCACACATGACCTTTCACCATATGCAGATTCATTTTATTTCCACCACTCCGTCTGGATGCTTAACTTTTTCTTGTCACTTAGTGTAGCTGCTAATTGAAATAAAAGATGCGTTACAGTTCATTAATGATGAACAAACATGAGATCAGTATTTCACTTGTGTTATTCATGACTTGTTCCTTCATTAGATCCTTAGTAGGTCCTTCAGTAGTTCTTTCAGTAATTCACAAATATTTACAGAAGTTACAAATATAGTAACTGCTTAGGATGAAAGATGCATCATGATTCAGAAATGACTTGTTCCTTCAGTAGTTCACAAAGGGTTACAGAATTAAAGGGTATAGTAATGAATGTAGAAACTGCTTGAGGTAAACCATGCGTCACGTTTCATTAATGATGAATAACCTCAGATCAGTATGTAATAAGACTTAGTTTGTGGTTGGTTAATACATATGTAACAGTTCATACATATGTGCCGTAATTGACAATCCCTCACAATGCAGGTAATGTGCCTTATTCTGGACTCCCTGAACAACCACTTGTTCGACACAAAGTCAAACCAGTGGTACCCAAGCTGAAGAGATACGGTAGCAAAGGTCCAGTCTTCGTCTCAGGTTACTGGATAGTCCATGTCTCGTAGCCATACAGCAAAATAAAGAGCACTAGAACTCCCTTTGCCCTCTTACAAAGATATTGGGAGTGCCACACATATCTTTCTAGTGACCTCATGACTCCCCATGCTGTCCTAATTCATACAGACTGGAGTTGCCATCAAGCCATGTACTGCAACTTCTCTCGATGATATCCAGGATGCCCTGCGAGATGAAACAGCTCCTTCTGGGAACACCAGTAACACCAACACTGTGTGCAAACTCATTAGAAACAGTCTGATCTTGGAGTCTGGCCAGGTCCAGCCTCATTCGCCTAATAGGTGTTAGCATGCTGGATCTAAGCTAAATCTTCAGAGTAGCAACTGCAAGTCTGTGGTCAGAATTCACAAACTGGACACTTCTGCAGTTCTGTAGGAGCCTCCAGTATCTGTCCTCAAGGGTGTGATCTATATCTTGCTACACCACTGTTATTGGCGTACCAAGTCCTACGATGTGGCTCAGGGTGCTGGGACCAGGATCCAGTGACCCGCAGCCCCTGACCTTTTGCAAAGTCAAGGACCATGCAGACACTTACAACACAGTTGCCAGATCCATGGGCACTGACCCAGTCCTCATAACCAGCCCTGTCAGTTACAGTGGTCGCATTGGAGTCACCCATGACCAAACTCATTAGTGTCACTGGGCACCCATCAGTCTCCCTCATTGAGACATCACTCATTGCAGTTGGAGCATACAATGAGACAACAGACAAGACACCCAAGCAGTGCCCTAGCCTGAGCCTTATAATATGGTCATTGAAAGGAAGACACCATTGAGAAGAGCTGATCCACCACAGCAACACCTACTTCCTGAGTATGGCAGCTGTCAGAGCGACCAGCTCAATAATAGGTGTGCCCACCTACAGAAATCTGGCCACTCCTCCCTCCCCTTCATCATGCGTGCAGCCTTTCTATGGGCAGCTGCAAGAGACCTACTCCCACAGAGAGCAGAACAGAACTCTTATGTATATAATTTTTGGAAAATACTCCAAATTGAGAGTATATAATATACATTGGCAATTTACTAGCACTCTATGTTAAGAGTCAGTCACCCAAAGTTGTTTTCTTCATAAGAGTGTCGTCATCCCATTCCTTGGGCACTGATAAAAGTGTGAGGACATTACCTGCAACTGCCCCCACACAAATTAGGTCTGTGATAATGCACTTATGACCAGAGATGGGGAAGCATGACGGCAGGCGGTATCAACAAACAGCACGTTTTTTGTTTTGCCATTAGTTCAAATTGCAGACTCCATGACAAAGTGTGGGATATTCCAAGTGTTATTCCGAGTGGTATTTTAAATTAGATTGCATCGCTTAGAAATAGATGTTGCTTAACTTTTGTCATGAATTACATCCTGTTATATAGTCACACAGATGGTTATAGATTACCATAAATCTCATCATTGAGCAGGCACATCCGAAAAACATAATTTATCATTCCAAGTCCAGCTGTATTTTCTTACAACTTAAAACATGCCTACACCTCTTCGTTGTGCCCCACGTACTGCATGTAGTGTTATGTCTTAAATTGTTTGGATTTCCATTACACTCATATTTAATTTTTTTTAATAAAGTAAAAACATAATGCCAGCTAACAATTTGATTGAACATTAATATCACTAACCGCTCTCCCGTGACTAAAGGAGCAGCATGATTGCAAGCATTACTTTAGCTTTTTAACATGGAGCTCATGGTGTTACTTGCATAATAATTTATTTACTTGCACGCACACCAGCTGAGAAACAAATCAGTTTTATCAAAAGATCTGTGAATGCAATCAAAAAGTATAAATGCCAAAAGTCTTGTATTTTGTTTGGTTACTAATGGTTAAGGTTAGGGCTGGGTAGGGTTTAAGGTTGTCATGTAGGGATTAAAGTTTTCCCGACAGAGATATAATTACAAACCTGTGTGTGTGTATATACAATTGTTGTTGCCAGGTTTGGACCCTCTTTGGGCTATGTGTATAACTGTTCACACTAATTAAAGTTTACTTATGCTTCTCAAGAGATGTCTTCATCATGATGTTATTTTTGAGAAAGTTTTAAAATATACATTAGAAAAGTACTTAGATTCTTATAAAAATGTTATTGCTTCAAAACCATTTGAAATAGCTATTACCTTGAAAATGTATATACATAAGAGGCTATAGTTATGGAGGCTATAATCAAAGAGAAAATGGTAGATTACCTGGACTCAAATAACTTTTTGAGGGATAGCCGGCATGGATTTAGGAGAGGTAGATCCTGTTTAACAAATCTGTTGGAGTTTTTTGAGGAAGCTACTCAGGAAGTTGATGATAAGAAGGCCTATGATGTCATCTATTTAGATTTCCAAAAGGCTTTTGATGTTGTTCCCCACAAGAGGCTCTCACTTAAACTCAAAGCGACAGGTATTTTAGGAACTGTAGCGACTTGGATTGATAACTGGTTAACGGATAGGAAGCAGCGAGTAGTTATAAGAGGCTCGATGTCACAGTGGGCCTGCGTTCATAGTGGGGTACCGCAGGGTTCAATTTTAGGACCACT